GTACAACAAAGTAGTCATTTAAACAATAATCAATTGAGAACACTCTCGATTTACCGACGTTACCGATAATATACCGACATACGTTCTTTTACCAACATTACCAACAATATACCGACATACGTTCTTTTACCGACATTACCGACAATATACCGACATACGTTCTCTTACCGACATTACCGACGATATACCGACATACGTTTTTTTACCGACGTTACCGACAATATACCGACATACGTTCTTTTACCGACATTACCGACGATATACCGACATACGTTCTTATACCGACATTACCAACAATATACCGACGTACGTTCTTTTACCAACTGGTTATCGACACCTTACTGGCACCTTACCAGTGTTTTACTGAGCAATTACCGACGGTTTTACCGACGACTACTGACTTTTCGATTACTGCCGGGTTCACCGAAGATCTACGAGCGAATGACGCATTATCAATTCGATTACGCAACAAGCACAAATGTGCCCACTCACCCTTAGAGGTATAACCCCTCCTCCAGAAGTTAATCTCTTTGTACCGTTTGAACCCTTATTCTATTGCCAAATTGGTATCGGGTACATCCACTTCGAGACTAAGGCAGCCCTCTGCATTTCATGCTACTCCACCTTACCTAGAGTCTCGAAACTACTTTGGACAAAGATTCGGAAGCATACTTTAATCATAGGCGGAACACCCACTGGAATAAATTGCGGGGTCTGCAACTTCCGACTTACCCTCACGCGAATTGGTGATTTGTGCGAGCTTTGCCAGTCTACGTACGAAGATTACTTACGCAACCCCAACGACGTTTCGCATAGAGCAATCGACGAAGCTATCTTTATTACAGTAGAGTCACAGATAGGTCCCACGCAATAATCCGATCACCTCAGTTCCAGCGCGAATAACCTCAGATCGCGGGTATCCCCGGGGAGAATCGCATAGATTCGCGTACCCGTAATAGCGATCGTGTCTCGTGGAAAAAGCCGAGCTCTGCATTCAAATTTTCGCAGCCACGACCCCACGAGACGTAACATTGGATAAATTTGGACATTAAGATTTCAGGGTCTTCTTGTTCTACGTTCGCGTAGTCTATGGAGACGTTGCTCGTCACGATCAATTTGATTCTTCCTTCGGAAGGGAGAGACCATCTAATGGTTAAATAAATTTATATGAATAATATGTTTTATAGAACTGAGAGAATTAAATAATCAAAAGTAATCGAGTATGACTCACGTTTAAGTCGTGATCTACGTGTTAAAGAGTTAGAGACGAGATGAAAGGTTAATCTATACGAGAATGCCCATCACCTGTTAATTAATTAAGCGTTGTGTCAATTATAATTGTAATTAAACAATACTGAAAGAGAATTGATAATAATGTGGAATAGGAAAAGGAATCTTAGTACGTGTATTAATATCTATATCAAGAATATTAATATTTGTACTTTCGAGCATCAAAGATTTAAGTCTTAAACATCGAAGTAATAATTCTTAGTAATCATCAAGACCTCTGTCATTCGGTTTGGTAAAGTAATTCGTTTGGATTATAGAGCAGAAAGAGAGTAAGCAGGGAAGGTTAAAGAAATACACGGTTACCCGTGTGAATTCTGGTCCTTAAAGGCTAATGCATACGTTCACTTTACTAAACGTGCATCTCAGAATCGTAGTAACGAATTTACCTTATGACAGGGTATATTTCTATTAGTAGTAAATAGGATAAGGTAGTGTACACTTGTCAAATGAATCGAATATCAATATGCAAAATCACTGTCAGTTGGTGTGGTAAAGTATTCGCAATTATTGGAAAATGCAAGGTAATAAAAGCGTAAAAGAGATAGAGAGATAGGTGTTCATCCGGCTAGGCCGGGTTCTCTGGTCCTTGTCTTAATAGGCTAATGCGACGTTCACTTTACTAAACGTGCACCTCAAAGATGACTTGCGAATGTACCTTCTGACAGGATATAGTTTCTAATGTGTACAGAAGAATTAGCGGCATTCAATTCGCTAATTAGTGGTAGGATACAGGGTTACATATATATATGAATAAGCAGTGGTACAATAAAATACATAAGTATATTTATTATAATAGATTGAATAAGTATGCAATATTGATTAAATAGTATGGAATAGTATTGGATAAAATATTGAATAGATCGACGATTGTAACGCAGACGTGTGCAGATGCAAATCGTAGATTGAAATAATATCGAGAATGCAGAGTAATATATGGCTTATATCTATATTCAAAATTCAGAGTTCGATGTGTAAGGTGGAATTGAGTTAGTATTGAATAATTAAATATAATGATTAAATATAATGAGTGTCCGTCGCGCTTTACTATTTAGGGATATGTGAACTGGCTTAAATACTCACAAGGTTAGACAATGTCTAATGTGCCTTGCTATGGTACACTTCGCTACTGTGTTCTTCCCTCTGAGTCTGAAGATCTGAGGAGCCTCGGTACCTCGGTCCGAAATGGCGGCTATGTCTCACCAAAATGGCGGCTATGTCTCGTTGTCTTCACGACCCCGTAGTATTTGCTGGTTGAGTGCTGGATTGTTGTTGACTGGAACCACTGCGACGAAATCACTGCCGTTCCGTGCCGGGTGCAGGGTTTATATACCGTAAAATGTGGCTCGCTTTTCCCATCGGGCGATGCAGCTTAGCCAATGGCAAGAGAGATATGCCGGGGAAGTACCGGAGACAATCTGTTCCTGGTAGAGATTGCGACGGTTAAGTCCCGGAGAGATGACTTCTTAGTAGTGATAGCGGCGTTCCTTTGATGACTCATCGCCGGGCGCTCCGACTTTCCTTATCGTATTCTTAGTAGCGATAGCGGTGCTTCTTTGGTGACTCATCGCTATGCGGCTTGCAACGGGCCTTGCAGGTTGCAACGTGTTTCAGCGTTGCATCATGCATTGCATCATGCTTCTGGAATGTAACGGTTCTCAATCGTCTTTTAGAACCTTCTAGAATCTTTTAGATGTTTCTTGAGAGTAAAGCCGAGTTCACATAATAAAGCGGGTTTCATACCTAATTACTACTTTACAAGCGATATATATATATTTTAGGTATTATTCTCTAGAATATGTCGATTTTTTTTGCGTTTTGAAATAAAATGCATTACTTCGTTATGAATTAAAATAATTATGATGGACAGGTAAAATTTATCAATTTACATTTTTATTCCATAGTTATATGTAAATTGATGGGTAATTCGCGTCAGGAATGAATTTCTATGGATTTCTAATTTTTCTAATATTTTATACTTATAATTTGAAAATCACGATGGACGGTTAAAACTTATCAATTTTCATTTTTATTCCATAGTTATATGTAAATTGATGGATAATTCGCGTCAGGAATGAATTTCTATGGATTTCTAATTTTTCTAATATTTTATACTTATAATTTGAAAATCACGATGGACGGTTAAAATTGATCAATTTACATTTTTATTCCATAGTTATATGTAAATTGATGGATAATTCGCGTCAGGAATGAATTTCTATGGATTTCTAATTTTTTCTAATATTTTATACTTATAATTTGAAAATCACGATGGACGGTTAAAACTTATCAATTTACATTTACAGTCCATAGTTACATGTAAATTGATGGGTAATTCGCGTCAGGAACGAATTTCTAATTTTTTAATATTTTATATCTATCATTCTCTAACCTGTATGTTTCCTAACGAATGATTCGGAACGGAGCACCCTTGTTAATTATGCTTTTTATGACAGAAATGTTATTTAAAAGTGGGTTGCTATTCCCATTGTCATTTGTGAGAAAACATGTTTTAACTTATGAGCAATTATATGTGAGACTAAATATTTTTTAATACCGGTCTTTCATGTAGGTTAGCGATTGTCATGACTAATATGTTAAAGGATAAATTTTTGAAAAAAATTGAAATTTTGAAATTTGTCTGGACGTTACAACAGAAAGTGTCGGTTCGATTTTCCTCGGCCAGTTACTGAGAATTTCGTTTTAAGAGACTTTATCACTTCGATAGTCGGTAGAAAAAATTTACGCAGTAAGAGCAGATTGTACGATCTTCCTCGCAAGGAGTAGGAAAAGTTTATAAATGATTATAATCCGTCTATCAAATTAGCCTGGGAGGGAAATATGGACATACCATTTATTAGAGAAGAATCAGAGTTTTTAAACTCATATTTAACAAAATACACGACAAAGTCGGAAAAATGCAATACAGACTTTGAAGTGATAGATTCGAATAAGTCCTTGGCATCGAAACTGTGGAATTTTGCAATGCGTTCATTAAATAACAGAGAATGCGGTGCTTTAGAAGCTGCGGATACACTATTATGGAATCCCTTGTACGGTACGGATAATGATACCATGGTCAAATGGATCGATGTTAATGAGGTGAGAAATAGAAAAGTTAAAACATTTAATGAAATTTAAGCTCTCGATGAAAATTCTACGAATATTTACTGTTCGTCACTCATCAATGATTACTATCCAAATAGACCTCAGGAATTAGAATCATTGAATTTGTACGATTTTGCCAGATTCTGGGAAATTACGAAACAGATGTCAAATAATGACGAAGTCAAGTGTTACAAACTGGCATCGGGTTTATTTTAAAAAAACGAAAAAAGGGTTATTTAATTAACCATTATCGATTTAATATAAAAACTGAGCCCGAAAAATACTTTTACTCGCTGCTTCTGTTCAAACCATGGAGAGATTTGAGTGAACTCAAAGGTACATTCGAGACTTACACGGATGCCTTTAAGAATTCAGAGTCTGTTTTAACGAAGGCAATGAAATATCACGAAAGGCTCGAAGAAATACAGAAATCTTTTGAGAACGTTGCTGAATTAATCGAGAAGCGCGAAAATGATCTGAAAACAGCAGACAGAGACAAATCCGATGACGATGAACTGGATTGTAATCCGATAGAAGCTGACGACGCGATGAAAGATCTGGAAGATTTTGGTAAGATTGACGACCCGATTGATTTATCGCAAATGATGTCGCAATTGAACAAAGACCAGAAAAGAGTCTTTGATGGAGTATGCCAAGTTTTACAAGATAAGAATCAGATTCTGCGACTGTACGTAAGTGGCGAGGGTGGTACAGGGAAAAGTTTTCTAATTGAAACGATTAAACATTGGATCAGAATAAATTTGGAAAAAACGACTGCCATATCTGCTCCCACGGGTATCGCAGCATTGAATATCGATGGCTTGACAATCCATAGAATGTTTCAACTACCGGTTAGTCATGAATCTACACCAAAATATACGCAATTGTCAGACATGGTCTTGAAAATTTTGAGAGACAAATTAAAAATGTCGAATTATTTATAATCGAAGGAATTACTTGTAACAATGCAATGATGGATTTAGGAACGAGTGTATTCAGTGATGGTCAAGCCTATGTAGGTTTGTCACGAGTAAGTAAATTGGAAGGCCTACATTTTACTTACAAATTTCAATCCAGCATCAGTTAAAGCAAACTCGAGAGCCATTGTAGAATATAATCGACTAAGATCTATATTCAAATCTGAACTGCCACAAATCAATCCATCCGAGAAAAAGGTTGTGAAAATGTACGATCGTCGATGGGATATTCCTAATATCATTGATGATATGCAGAATTATGATTGTGAGGAACCAGAAAGTATAGTTACGTGGAAAATATATGGCCTTTGCAATAACGATGCTGTTTCGTGTTACGCTAATGTAATATTACAATGTGCGTTTCATTGCGTACGTATTAGGTGTTACGTCCAATAATTCACCCGGCGGCAAATTACCTTCTGCACAAGTCGGTCTTCTCTCGCGTCTACCTCGGTGGACGTTTAAGAAGCTGCTCTCTATTTGTTTTATGGGCAACCTGCTAGGCCGGCTATACCAAGGGAAGCCGAGAGCTTGAGATTCGATTGAGAGTATCGGACAGAGAAGGAAGCTGACGGGTCGGGTCGATAAATAAAGATATTTTACAAGTATAATGTCATTTATTCATTTATAAAACCTTTACGTCGATATAAAATTTATTGGTCCTGACGTGATTCGTGGGGGGCTTGAGATTGAGTTACAATATTACTGAGTTCCTGTTCATAATTGTTAGGCTGATTAAGGTAAGTAATAAAAGAAGCGAAGTCGTCCTGAGCTTCTTCAGAGACGAAGTTACGAGTGTCGTCGGATGTGAGGTTCGCGGTGTCCTCGTCAAGAATATTAAAGTTTTGTTCGTGGTTAAATTGTAAGAAAGGATCGTATTCTGACGATACAATTTGTTGGCTTTGATCTGGGATATAATATTCAGGGTCGGAGAAGAAATGATTATTTGAGTTTGTTCCTAACGTATTTGGTTCTGAATGCGACGGATCCGGAAATTGCGGGTGAGAATAATCGATATAAGGTGGAAGGTTATTTATAGGTGAATAGACGTCGGGAGAAGTGGGTCGAACGATTACTCGCGTAGGAAAGATTTGGACATGTAAGTTTAAGGCTCTTCTTGTTCTACGTTCGCATAGTCTATGGAGACGTTGCTCGTCACGATCAATTTGATTCTTCCTTCGGAATGGAGAGACCATCTAACGGTTAAATAAATTTATATGAAAGATACGTTTTATAGAACTGAGAGAATTAAATAATCAAAAGTAATCGAGTATGACTTACGTTTAAGTCGTGATCTACTTGTTAATGAAAGAGAACGGAGATGAAAGGTTAATCTATGTGAGACTGCCCTTCACCCGTTAATTAGTTAAACTTGTATCAATTATAGTTATAATTAAATGATACTGAAAGAAAATTGGTAATAATGTGGGTGAAGAAAGAAAAGGGTTTGAAGAGGAGTATTGATATCTATCAAGGCCGGAAATGAAGTTTGTATGTTATCGGCTATAAGTAAAGTATCTCTAAGTGGTAAAGTAAATTGCTATTTTATCATCAGTTAGTAAAAGTGTCTCTAAGTGGTAAAGTGGATTTCTATTTTATCATTAGTTGGTAAAAGTATCTCTAAGTGGTAAGGTGGATTTCTATTTTATTGTTAGTTGGTAACGTAAAGAATATTAATATTTGTACCTTCAAACATCGAGGGTTAACGTTTTAAACACTGAAATAATGATTATAATAGTTTGCATTAAAAGAAGAGAGATAGTGATGCAGGGAGAGGGTAAGGATTTGAATGAGTATTAATATCGATATTCTGAATATTAATACTCGATATGTCGATAGTTTTCAGGCTTAGAAATAAATAAATTCTCAATGATTCGTCAAAATCACTGTCAGTCGGTGTGGTAAAGTATTCGCAACTATTTGAAAATGCAAGGTGTAAAAAGCATAAAAGGGATAGAGAGATAGGTGTTCATCCGGCTAGGCCGGGTTCTCTGGTCCTTGTCTTAATAGGCTAATGCGACGTTCACTTTACTAAACGTGCACCTCAGAGATGACTTGCGAATGTACCTTCTGACAGGATATTATCCTAATGTGTATTAAACAGGGTGAGGTGGGATATATTGGTCAAAATGAGTTTAATTTCAATATGCAAGGATTCTGGGTACGTGTATTAATATCTATATCAAGAATATTAATACTTGTACTTTCAAGCATCAAAGATTAATGTCTTAAACATCGAAGTAATAATTCTTAGTAATCATCAAGACCTCTGTCATTCGGTTTGGTAAAGTAATTCGTTTGGATTATAGAGCAGAGAGAGAGTAAGCAAGGAAGGTTAAAGAAATACACGGTTACCCGTGTGAATTCTGGTCCTTAAAGGCTAATGCATACGTTCACTTTACTAAACGTGCATCTCAGAATCGTAGTAACGAATTTACCTTATGACAGGGTATATTTCTATTAGTAGTAAAGTTTTGCAGCCACGACCCCACGAGACATAACATTGAATAAATTTGGACATTAAGATTTAAGGGTCTTCTTGTTCTACGTTCGCGTAGTCTATGGAGACGTTGCTCGTCACGATCAATTTGATTCTTCCTTCGGAAGGGAGAGACCATCTAATGGTTAAATAAATTTATATGAATAATATGTTTTATAGAACTGAGAGAATTAAATAATCAAAAGTAATCGAGTATGACTCACGTTTAAGTCGTGATCTACGTGTTAAAGAGTTAGAGACGAGATGAAAGGTTAATCTATACGAGAATGCCCATCACCTGTTAATTAATTAAGCGTTGTGTCAATTATAATTGTAATTAAACAATACTGAAAGAGAATTGATAATAATGTGGAATAGGAAAAGGAATCTTAGTACGTGTATTAATATCTATATCAAGAATATTAATATTTGTACTTTCGAGCATCAAAGATTTAAGTCTTAAACATCGAAGTAATAATTCTTAGTAATCATCAAGACCTCTGTCATTCGGTTTGGTAAAGTAATTCGTTTGGATTATAGAGCAGAAAGAGAGTAAGCAGGGAAGGTTAAAGAAATACACGGTTACCCGTGTGAATTCTGGTCCTTAAAGGCTAATGCATACGTTTACTTTACTAAACGTGCATCTCAGAATCGTAGTAACGAATTTACCTTATGACAGGGTATATTTCTATTAGTAGTAAATAGGATAAGGTAGTGTACACTTGTCAAATGAATCGAATATCAATATGCAAAATCACTGTCAGTTGGTGTGGTAAAGTATTCGCAATTATTGGAAAATGCAAGGTAATAAAAGCGTAAAAGAGATAGAGAGATAGGTGTTCATCCGGCTAGGCCGGGTTCTCTGGTCCTTGTCTTAATAGGCTAATGCGACGTTCACTTTACTAAACGTGCACCTCAGAGATGACTTGCGAATGTACCTTCTGACAGGATATAGTTTCTAATGTGTACAGAGGAATTAGCGGCATTCAACTCGCTAATATGTGGTAGGATACAGGGTTACATACATATATAAATAAGCAGTGGTACAATAAAATACATAAGTATATTTATTATAATGGATTGAATAAGTATGCGATATTGGTTAAATAGTATTGAATAGTACTGAATAAAATATTGAATAAATCGACGATTGAAACGCAGACGTGTGCAGATGCAATACGTGGATCGAAATAATATCGGAAATGCAGAGTAATATATGGCTTATATCTATATTCAAAATTCAGAGTTCGGAATGTAACGTAAGATTGAGTCAGTATTGGATAATTAAATGTAATGATTAAATATAATGAGTGTCCGTCGCGCTTTACTATTTAGGGATATGTGAACTGGCTTAAATACTCACAAGGTTAGACAATGTCTAATGTGCCTTGCTATGGTACACTTCGCTACTGTGTTCTTCCCTCTGAGTCTGAAGATCTGAGGAGCCTCGGTACCTCGGTCCGAAATGGCGGCTATGTCTCACCAAAATGGCGGCTATGTCTCGTTGTCTTCACGACCCCGTAGTATTTGCTGGTTGAGTGCTGGATTGTTGTTGACTGGAACCACTGCGACGAAATCACTGCCGTTCCGTGCCGGGTGCAGGGTTTATATACCGTAAAATGTGGCTCGCTTTTCCCATCGGGCGATGCAGCTTAGCCAATGGCAAGAGAGATATGCCGGGGAAGTACCGGAGACAATCTGTTCTTGGTAGAGATTGCGACGGTTAAGTCCCGGAGAGATGACTTCTTAGTAGTGATAGCGGCGTTCCTTTGATGACTCATCGCCGGGCGCTCCGACTTTCCTTATCGTATTCTTAGTAGCGATAGCGGTGCTTCTTTGGTGACTCATCGCTATGCGGCTTGCAACGGGCCTTGCAGGTTGCAACGTGTTTCAGCGTTGCATCATGCATTGCATCATGCTTCTGGAATGTAACGGTCTTCAACCGCCTTTCTAGAACCTTCTAGAATCTTTTAGATGTTTCTTGAGAGTAAAAGCCGAGTTCACATAATAATGTTTCATACCTAATTATCTCATCATTATAGTATACTACTTTATAAGCGATATTTAGGTATTATCCCTTAGAATTTGCGATTTGAAATAAAATGCATTGGACAGTTAAAACTTATCAATTTACATTTACATTGCATAGCTATATGTAAATTGATAGAGAGTTTATGTCAGGAATGAATTTCTAAACTGTCCCTGACTGAGTTTAATACTCAGTTTGCACATCTACATTGCATAGCTATAATACTTTCGATTGTATGACGAATGTAATGTTATTACGCATATTGCATATGATTTTTGTCTCCTAATTTATAAATGAGAATTTTAAGGTTAATAATATATTTGCCATAGGCGTGCTTATTGGCTGGTAATATTAGTCTTCATATTTGTCGTTAGTCGGTAAGGTAATTTCCTACTTAATCATCTGTAATTGGTAAGTCAAGTTCCTGTTTTATCATTGGTCG